CGCCTCAGAGGCAGAGCGGGAAAGCCGTCTTCTTCCTGGCGACCAAGAAGAAGGTGGCCGATGCGGCCGTCTAGAAGGGGATGGCCGTGGGGGGACTTGACGTCCAGCTGGAACCCATCGCTTCGGTGGCGGCGCGAATAGTCGTTTCGAACGTGCCGCCCTACATCCCCGACAAGGCCGTGTTGGGGCACGTGTTGGGGCACGTGTTGGGGCACGTGTTGGGGCACGTGTTGGGGCACGTGTCCAAGCTGGGCACGGTCATGTCGCCAGTACGTACCTTGCCACTGGGGTGCAAAAACCCTGCCCTGAAACACATCTTGTCTTTCAGGAGGCAGATGCACGTCCTGCTGACTCCCGGGCAGCAGGAGGAGGGCTCTTTTGTTGTTGTCTATGAAAACATTGCCCTTAGATTGTTCCATGGCAAGGATTACATCAAATGCAATATTTGCAAAGAAGAGGAGCACTTCCGAAGGGATTGTCCCAAACCGACCACGGCAAGGGTCGGAGAAAAGAGCGGGGAGGAGGAAGAGAGTGCGAAGGAGGCAAAGCAGCAAGAGCCTCCATTGCAACGAGGCCCCCAACAGCCCACACCGGACCCGGCAGGCACGCAGCCTCCCACACCTGAGGTCGTGGCCCCAACATCATCACCGCCTCGGGCGGCAAATCGCAAGAGGAAAAATACAGAAGGACCCGGATCGCAGAGGAGGAACACCTCCCAGAGCTGGAGCCGGAGGAAGAAGCGGCGAAACCCCTCACACCGGGGGGAGGGAGGAGGACAGCTGCCAGACGCCGAAAGACGCGGCTTTGGCCATCCCGGACGCCGCGCCGAGTGACGCGCGGGCGACGAGGAAGAAACCCACCAAGGGGAAGAGGCGGCGTGCGTCTGGGGAAGGGCTGCCACAGCAGGAGACCGCGGACGATGAAGGCGACATCGCCACGGAGATTCGACCCATCTCCTGTGGTCATAGAGCCTCACCCTCCACCAGCTATGGATGAGGCTGGGGGAAATAGAATTCGCTCCGCCCTCGACCAAGAGGAGGAGGGGGAAGTCGGTGGAGAGACATCGACCACACTGACCAGGGGCGAGGAGGAAACGGATGGGAATGAGGAGGAAGGTCCCCGTCCCACTGCTGACCCAAAACCAGCGGAAGCGACACGGGGCCATCCACCCGACGGGTCTGAGCAGGAGCCGTCCCCGGGCATCTCCGACGCTGGGGGAGAGGACGCCGCTGGGCCATGCGTCGGCCCAGCCGCTGCAGCTCTTCCAGCGGAGCCGGACGGCGGGGAGGTCGACTCAGATCGGGACGACTGCTTCAGCGTGGGGAGCGAGAGCAGCCAGGGGTCGACACTTCTCGACCCTCAGACTCCCCTCGTCTCCCCGGAAGATCTCTGGCACTTCCTCGACGAGACCAACGTGAAGAAGGACGGAGCGGACATTGCCTTGGCTCGATGGAAGGACATCAAGGCAATAAAGCAAGCGAAACTTGTAACGAGTAGTTGTGCGACACCACCCCCTTCACGACTAGACATCTGTGAAAAAGAGCTTCATAGCTCATCGGATTCCTCCAGTATAAATATTCAGATTCCGTGTAATCCACGTTTACAGATAGAACCTCTGTCAGTCTTTGCCATTGCCGTACCATGGTGTCACAGTTGCCCGTAGTAAATACATTGCAGGTGACAACTGCCAGCGACAGTTGCTCTGAAGTTGCCCTTGAATATTACGGCGTTCATCACCCTAACACCACACTCACTGCGCGCTCCATATGTCAACACCCACCCACGGATTTGCCTCTGGCACTCTTGTGAGGCGAGAGAGACCCACGGCGTGAGCTTACGGCCGCACTCAGCCTCGTCCTGGGCTCCGAGCTCAACCGGGGGGACGGCGGGCGGGAACGCTCGACCTTTTCGTTGTCGGGAGTCGGTGGTCTCGGCAAGGGCCGAGAGAATCGCGCACGCGCGCTCTCTCTGAGTAGACTCGCTCGGAAACAACAGAAGGGGGTCTTCTCTCTCTCTTCTTCTCTCTCTCTCTTCTCTCTTCTTCTCTCTCTCTCTCTCTTCTTCTCTCTTCTTCTCTCTCCGAGCACCGGTTCGAAATTCTTTGAAAAACACTGAAGGGGCGAATGCACCCCCAAGGACAACACGCAACAGCATGCTCGACGGTGGGACAGCGGTGGGCGGTGGGGTATGGCGGTGTCCGGAAACACCCCTCCCAGACAGAAATGGACCGTTCCAACCAACACGAAAATAAACGCAGAGCTCTGGCGTCCTGTATGGAATTGGTTACACACAGCCGGCTGCCCCCACGGCCCAGCAATAAGTCACCAGGGTTGTTGATACTTGTCGTACGGGCGGACTTGCTGCACGTCGGTACGCACCACTGACCGTCTCAGCTTTTGACTTGGCCCATCAGCGCATCCTCCCCACCACCGCCCGTCGGGGGTCTACATGAGCACCACTTTTGCGCGGAATTTGAACAAGTGGTTGGCTGACGGGAGAGTACTCGTCCCCCCGCGCGAGAGGAATGTGGAAGTTCCACCCCACCGGTTCGGGGCTGTGAGCGGGCAAATGAGCACCCAATGCCTCGATGTTCATATGAGCAGCAGTTCCCTCTCACGTGATTTTCACCACTTTCAGAATCTACAGATTTACACCCAACCCGACCACCGTCACGTTTTTGTTTTACGTAATGTTTAGGGGTGGCAGGGTGACGCTGGGGTAACACTCGCGCCTCACAGCAAGCATGGCCTGGGTTCGATTCCTGACTCGGGAGCCTTTCCGCTTGTTGTTTATGTGTTCTTCCCCTGTTCTGCAGTGTGATTGAGAGTGGAGTTTGTGTGATCTCCCCCTGTTTTACAGAGTGAGTGGAGTTTGTGTGATCTCCTCCTGTTCTACAGAGTGAGTGGAGTTTGTATGTTCTACCCCTGGTTCTACAGAGTGAGTGGAGTTTGTGTGATCTCCCCCTGTTCTACAGGGTGAGTGGAGTTTGTATGATCTCCCCCTGTACTACAGGGTGAGTGGAGTTTGCATGATCTCCCCCTGTTCTGCAGTGTGATTGAGAGTGGAGTTTGTGTGATCTCCCCCTGTTTTACAGAGTGAGTGGAGTTTGTGTGATCTCCCCCTGTACTACAGAGTGAGTGGAGTTTGTATGATCTCCCCTTGTTCTACAGAGTGAGTGGAGTTTGTGTGATCTCCCCCTGTTCTACAGAGTGAGTGGAGTTTGTGTGTTCTACCCCTGTTCTACAGAGTGAGTGGAGTTTGTGTGATCTCCCCGTGTACTACAGAGTGAGTGGAGTTTGTATGATCTCCCGTTGTTCTACAGAGTGAGTGGAGTTTGTGTGATCTCCCCCTGTACTACAGGGTGAGTGGAGTTTGTATGGTCTCCCCCTGTTCTACAGAGTGAGTGGAGTTTGTGTGATCTCCCCCTGTACTACAGGGTGAGTGGAGTTTGCATGATCTCCCCCTGTTCTGCAGTGTGATTGAGAGTGGAGTTTGTGTGATCTCCCCCTGTTCTACAGAGTGAGTGGAGTTTGTGTGATTTCCCCCTGTACTACAGAGTGAGTGGAGTTTGCATGATCTCCCCCTGTTCTGCAGTGCGATTGAGAGTGGAGTTTGTGTGATCTCCCCCTGTTTTACAGAGTGAGTGGGGTTTGTGTGATCTCCCCCTGTACTACAGAGTGAGTGGAGTTTGTATGATCTCCCCTTGTTCTACAGAGTGAGTGGAGTTTGTGATCTCCCCATGTTCTACAGAGTGAGTGGAGTTTGTGTGTTCTACCCCTGTTCTACAGAGTGAGTGGAGTTTGTGTGATCTCCCCGTGTACTACAGAGTGAGTGGAGTTTGTATGATCTCCCGTTGTTCTACAGAGTGAGTGGCGTTTGTGATCTCCCCATGTTCTACAGAGTGAGTGGAGTTTGTGTGTTCTACCCCTGTTCTACAGAGTGAGTGGAGTTTGTGTGATCTCCCCCTGTACTACAGGGTGAGTGGAGTTTGCATGATCTCCCCCTGTTCTGCAGTGTGATTGAGAGTGGAGTTTGTGTGATCTCCCCGCTCTGCAGTGTGATTGAGAGTGGAGTTTGTGTGATCTCCCCCTGTTCTACAGAGTGAGTGGAGTTTGTGTGATCTCCCCCTGTACTACAGAGTGAGTGGAGTTTGTATGGTCTCCCCCTGTTCTACAGAGTGAGTGGAGTTTGTGTGATCTCCCCCTGTTCTACAGAGTGAGTGGAGTTTGTGTGTTCTACCCCTGTTCTACAGAGTGAGTGGAGTTTGTGTGACCTCCCCCTGTACTACAGAGTGAGTGGAGTTTGTATGGTCTCCCCCTGTTCTACAGAGTGAGTGGAGTTTGTGTGATCTCCCCCTGTACTACAGAGTGAGTGGAGTTTGCATGATCTCCCCCTGTTCTGCAGTGTGATTGAGAGTGGAGTTTGTATGATCTCCCCCTGCTCTACACAGTGAGTGGAGTTTGTGTGATCTCCCCCTGTTCTACAGAGTGAGTGGAGTTTGTGTGTTCTACCCCTGTTCTACAGAGTGAGTGGAGTTTGTGTGATCTCCCCCTGCACTACAGAGTGAGTGGAGTTTGTATGGTATCCCCCTGTTCTACAGAGTGAGTGGAGTCTGTGTGATCTCCCCCTGTACTACAGAGTGAGTGGAGTTTGTATGATGTCACCCTGTACTACAGAGTGAGTGGAGTTTGTATGGTCTCCCCCTGTTCTACAGAGTGGAGTTTTCATGATCTCCCCCTGTTCTGCAGTGTGAGTGAGAGTGGAGTTTGTATGGTCTCCCCCTGATCTACAGAGTGGAGTGTGTACGTTCTACCCCTATTCTACAGTGTGAGTGCTTAGTGTGTGGATCAGGAGTGTAGTTGTTAGCGCACTGAGCAACGAACCCAGCGACCCGAGTTTGATTCTCGCTCACGATCAATAACATTGACAAATATCTGAACTGATCCTCGACTTCCCCTTGGGGGACTCGGCCTTAAATGAGTACCTGGCGCGGTGTGGAAACATCAACACGGGGGAGACAAAGGCGGCCGGGCGTGGTGTTGGCCATCCACCCTATCGTGTGCCGTGTTGGCCTTCATAGGTGCCCGCTAACAGCACTTGCCCCGACAGTCTGTTAAGGCTATAACGGGGAGATCTTTTGTCTTAGGAGTCTGTACGTTCTCCCCGTCTTCTACACGGATTGCCAGCCGGGTTCACCGATTTCACCTCCCATAGCTAAACATACACACGACGTGCCCATTGGTGTTGGCCAAATGTCTAAACGCAGGAACCCTGTCCTGAAAGCGAGTGGACGGCATCCGTGTGTCCTACCTAGGGTCGGTTAAAACAAAATCAAACGCTTCGCCCTGCTAGACCTGCGGAAGGTTGGCGCACACGACTGGAGCCGCGTCACGGGACCGGAGACTCGGGCGGGCGGGCGGGCGGAGCGGCGGTGTGACGGCGGGCGGGCGGTGGCGACGATGCGGGCACGGTCACAGCTCCTCGTGGTGGGCGTACTGCTCCCCGAGCTGCCGCCCGTAGTCCGTGACCTCGCTGGTGAGGAAGAGCTCCTTGTTCTGCACCACCTCGTCGTGCGACAGCTGCCCGTCGCCGTCCGTGTCCATGTGCTCCAGGAGGTGCTCCGTCTGGGGGCGAGACGGCACGGCCCGCCGGCCTCTCAGCGCCCCCGTCCCGTCGCCAAGACGCGTCACCGAGTTACGGAGAAAAACCCTTTCGATCCGTCGCTGAGCGTGCGCGTCGCTGAGAGTGCGTGAGTCACCGAGAGTGCGTGAGTCACCGAGTGAGTCACCGAGAGTGAGTGAGTCACTGAGAGTGTGTGAGTCACCGAGAGTGTGTGAGTCACTGAGAGTGTGTGAGTCACTGAGAGTGTGTGAGTCACTGAGAGTGTGTGAGTCACTGAGAGTGAGTGAGTCACTGAGAGTGTGTGAGTCACCCAGCGTGCGTGAGTCACCGAGTGAGTCACTGAGAGTGTGTGAGTCACTGAGTGTGTGTGAGTCACTGAGAGTGTGTGAGTCACTGAGAGTGCGTGAGTCACCCAGCGTGCGTGAGTCACCGAGTGAGTCACCGAGAGTGAGTGAGTCACTGAGAGTGTGTGAGTCACTGAGAGTGTGTGAGTCACCCAGCGTGCGTGAGTCACCGAGTGAGTCACTGAGAGTGAGTGAGTCACTGAGAGTGTGTGAGTCACCGAGAGTGTGTGAGTCACTGAGAGTGTGTGAGTCACTGAGAGTGTGTGAGTCACTGAGAGTGTGTGAGTCACTGAGAGTGAGTGAGTCACTGAGAGTGTGTGAGTCACCCAGCGTGCGTGAGTCACCGAGTGAGTCACTGAGAGTGTGTGAGTCACTGAGTGTGTGTGAGTCACTGAGAGTGTGTGAGTCACTGAGAGTGCGTGAGTCACCCAGCGTGCGTGAGTCACCGAGTGAGTCACCGAGAGTGAGTGAGTCACTGAGAGTGTGTGAGTCAATGAGAGTGCGTGAGTCACTGAGAGTGCGTGAGTCACCGAGTGAGTCACCGAGAGTTTGTGAGTCACTGAGAGTGTGTGAGTCACTGAGAGTGTGTGAGTCACTGAGAGTGTGTGAGTCACTGAGAGTGTGTGAGTCACTGAGAGTGTGTGAGTCACTGAGAGTGTGTGAGTCACTGAGAGTGTGTGAGTCACTGAGAGTGAGTGAGTCACTGAGAGTGAGTGAGTCACTGAGAGTGTGTGAGTCACTGAGAGTGTGTGAGTCACTGAGAGTTTGTGAGTCACTGAGAGTGCGTGAGTCACCGAGAGTGAGTGAGTCACTGAGAGTGTGTGAGTCACTGAGAGTGCGTGAGTCACTGAGAGTGCGTGAGTCACTGAGAGTGAGTGAGTCACTGAGAGTGTGTGAGTCACTGAGAGTGAGTCACTGAGAGTGAGTCACTGAGTGTGTGAGTCACTGAGAGTGCGTGAGTCACTGAGAGTGAGTGAGTCACTGAGAGTGTGTGAGTCACTGAGAGTGTGTGAGTCACTGAGAGTGAGTGAGTCACTGAGAGTGAGTGAGTCACTGAGAGTGTGTGAGTCACTGAGAGTGTGTGAGTCACTGAGAGTGTGTGAGTCACTGAGAGTGAGTGAGTCACTGAGAGTGAGTGAGTCACTGAGAGTGTGTGAGTCACTGAGAGTTTGTGAGTCACTGAGAGTGCGTGAGTCACCGAGAGTGAGTGAGTCACTGAGAGTGTGTGAGTCACTGATAGTGCGTGAGTCACTGAGAGTGCGTGAGTCACTGAGTGTGTGAGTCACTGAGAGTGTGTGAGTCACTGAGAGTGAGTCACTGAGAGTGAGTCACTGAGTGTGTGAGTCACTGAGAGTGCGTGAGTCACTGAGAGTGAGTGAGTCACTGAGAGTGTGTGAGTCACTGAGAGTGTGTGAGTCACTGAGAGTGTGTGAGTCACTGAGAGTGAGTGAGTCACTGAGAGTGAGTGAGTCACTGAGAGTGAGTGAGTCACTGAGAGTGTGTGAGTCACTGAGAGTGTGTGAGTCACTGAGAGTGTGTGAGTCACTGAGAGTGTGTGAGTCACTGAGAGTGTGTGAGTCACTGAGAGTGTGTGAGTCACCGAGGGTGAGTGAGTCACTGAGAGTGTGTGAGTCACTGAGAGTGTGTGAGTCACTGAGAGTGTGTGAGTCACTGAGAGTGAGTGAGTCACCGAGAGTGTGTGAGTCACTGAGAGTGTGTGAGTCACTGAGAGTGTGTGAGTCACTGAGAGTGTGTGAGTCACTGAGAGTGAGTGAGTCACTGAGAGTGAGTGAGTCACTGAGAGTGAGTGAGTCACTGAGAGTGTGTGAGTCACTGAGAGTGTGTGAGTCACTGAGAGTGAGTGAGTCACTGAGAGTGAGTGAGTCACTGAGAGTGTGTGAGTCACTGAGAGTGAGTCACTGAGAGTGAGTCACTGAGTGTGTGAGTCACTGAGAGTGCGTGAGTCACTGAGAGTGCGTGAGTCACTGAGAGTGAGTGAGTCACTGAGAGTGTGTGAGTCACTGAGAGTGTGTGAGTCACTGAGAGTGAGTCACTGAGAGTGAGTGAGTCACTGAGAGTGAGTGAGTCACTGAGAGTGAGTGAGTCACTGAGAGTGTGTGAGTCACTGAGAGTGTGTGAGTCACTGAGAGTGTGTGAGTCACTGAGAGTGTGTGAGTCACTGAGAGTGTGTGAGTCACTGAGAGTGTGTGAGTCACTGAGAGTGTGTGAGTCACCGAGAGTGAGTGAGTCACTGAGAGTGTGTGAGTCACTGAGAGTGTGTGAGTCACTGAGAGTGTGTGAGTCACTGAGAGTGAGTGAGTCACTGAGAGTGTGTGAGTCACTGAGAGTGTGTGAGTCACTGAGAGTGTGTGAGTCACTGAGAGTGAGTGAGTCACCGAGAGTGTGTGAGTCACTGAGAGTGTGTGAGTCACTGAGAGTGTGTGAGTCACTGAGAGTGAGTGAGTCACTGAGAGTGTGTGAGTCACTGAGAGTGAGTGAGTCACCGAGAGTGTGTGAGTCACTGAGAGAGTGTGAGTCACTGAGAGTGTGTGAGTCACTGAGAGTGTGTGAGTCACTGAGAGTGTGTGAGTCACTGAGAGTGTGTGAGTCACTGAGTGTGCGTGAGTCACTGAGAGTGTGTGAGTCACTGAGAGTGAGTGAGTCACTGAGAGTGTGTGTCACTAGGAGTGTGTGAGTCACTGAGAGTGTGTGAGTCACTGAGTGTGTGAGTCACTGAGAGTGTGTGAGTCACTGAGAGTGTGTGAGTCACTGAGAGTGTGTGAGTCACTGAGAGTGTGTGAGTCACTGAGTGTGTGAGTCACTGAGAGTGTGTGAGTCACTGAGAGTGTGTGAGTCACTGAGAGTGTGTGAGTCACTGAGAGTGTGTGAGTCACTGAGTGTGTGTGAGTCACTGAGAGTGTGTGAGTCACTGAGAGTGTGTGAGTCACCGAGCGTGAGTCACTGAGAGTGTGTGAGTCACTGAGTGTGAGTCACCGAGCGTGAGTCACCGAGAGTGCGTGAGTCACTGAGAGTGTGTGAGTCACTGAGAGTGTGTGAGTCACTGAGTGTGTGTGAGTCACTGAGAGTGTGTGAGTCACTGAGAGTGTGTGCGTCACTGAGAGTGTGTGAGTCACTGAGAGTGTGTGAGTCACTGAGAGTGCGTGAGTCACCAAGAGTGTGTGAGTCACTGAGTGTGTGTGAGTCACTGAGAGTGCGTGAGTCACCAAGAGTGTGTGAGTCACTGAGTGTGTGTGAGTCACTGAGAGTGCGTGAGTCACTGAGAGTGTGTGAGTCACTGAGAGTGAGTGAGTCACTGAGAGTGAGTGAGTCACTGAGAGTGCGTGAGTCACCGAGAGTGAGTGAGTCATTGAGAGTGAGTGAGTCACTGAGAGTGAGTGAGTCACTGAGAGTGTGTGAGTCACTGAGAGTGTGTGAGTCACCGAGAGTGAGTGAGTCACTGAGAGTGTGTGAGTCACTGAGAGTGTGTGAGTCACTGAGAGTGAGTGAGTCACTGAGAGTGTGTGAGTCACTGAGAGTGAGTGAGTCACTAAGAGTGAGTGAGTCACTTTGAGTGCTTGAGTCACCGAGAGTGAGTCACTGAGAGTGAGTGAGTCACTGAGAGTGAGTGAGTCACTGAGAGTGTGTGAGTCACTGAGAGTGTGTGAGTCACCGAGAGTGAGTGAGTCACTGAGAGTGTGTGAGTCACTGAGAGTGTGTGAGTCACTGAGAGTGAGTGAGTCACTGAGAGTTTGTGAGTCACTGAGAGTGAGTGAGTCACTAAGAGTGAGTGAGTCACTTTGAGTGCTTGAGTCACCGAGTGTGAGTGAGTCACTGAGAGTGTGTGAGTCACTGAGAGTGCGTGAGTCACTGAGAGTGCTTGAGTCACCGAGAGTGTGTGAGTCACTGAGAGTGAGTGAGTCACTGAGAGTGAGTGAGTCACTGAGAGTGTGTGAGTCACTGAGAGTGTGTGAGTCACCGAGAGTGAGTGAGTCACTGAGAGTGTGTGAGTCACTGAGAGTGTGTGAGTCACTGAGAGTGAGTGAGTCACTGAGAGTTTGTGAGTCACTGAGAGTGAGTGAGTCACTAAGAGTGAGTGAGTCACTTTGAGTGCTTGAGTCACCGAGTGTGAGTGAGTCACTGAGAGTGTGTGAGTCACTGAGAGTGCGTGAGTCACTGAGAGTGTGTGAGTCACTGAGAGTGTGTGAGTCACTGAGAGTGTGTGAGTCACTGAGAGTGTGTGAGTCACTGAGAGTGTGTGAGTCACTGAGAGTGTGTGAGTCACTGAGTGTGTGTGAGTCACTGAGAGTGTGTGAGTCACTGAGAGTGTGTGAGTCACTGAGAGTGAGTGAGTCACTGAGAGTGTGTGAGTCACTGAGAGTGTGTGAGTCACTGAGAGTGAGTCACTGAGAGTGTGTGAGTCACCGAGAGTGTGTGAGTCACTGAGAGTGTGTGAGTCACTGAGAGTGAGTCACTGAGAGCGTGTGAGTCACTGAGAGTGTGTGAGTCACTGAGAGTGAGTGAGTCACTGAGAGTGTGTGAGTCACTGAGAGTGAGTCACTGAGAGCGTGTGAGTCACTGAGAGTGTGTGAGTCACTGAGAGTGTGTGAGTCACCGAGAGGAAGCTCTCAACGCGGGCACCGCCCCCCCCTCCCACTCTCACCTCGTCCTCGGCCACCTCCAGGTTGTTGGGCATGAGCCAGGAAAGCAGCTCGCTGGGGTTGAGCTTCCCGTCGTGGTCGATGTCGAACTCGCTGGTGAATTTGTCCGTCTCGGTGATCACCCACTCGGGGTCGCTCTCTGCGGCTGCGCGCGCGGTCGGCGGCACAGAGAGAGAGGGGGGCGGTGGGGAGAGGGGGGGGGTGGGGAGAGGGGCAAAGTGGCAGGGGAGGTGCAGAGTTTAAGTCCCAGCCACAGCCAGGGCAGCCGAGAGTCTGGGTTCCAATCCGGGTGCTGGACACCTGTGGGTAAAACGGCGGCAGGGTGGCGACACTGGTCCCTCGCAGCGAGGTCACCGGTTTGATTCCCCACGTGGGCCCTTTTCTGCGAGCGGTTTCCATCTTCTCTCCGCCCCTGTTGCGGTCGCGCACTCGGGGACAAACGATGGCCGATTGCCGGGACGCACGTACGGTGAACTCCTTTCGCGCTGTTAGTAGCCAACCGTGCTTATTGGAGGCGTGGGGACAGGCTAGTGGAGGGGGTCTCAACGAACCCAGCGGCCAAGGGGGAAGAGAAGACCAAGGGCCAAATGGTGTGATACTGTCGGGGCAGCGTTTCTCAAACTCGTTTGGGCCCCACGGACCACCTAGCCCCTCGCTCAACCCTGGTGACAAAACGCATTCACTTCTCTCTCTAAATACCAGAAATACCAAATTATTCATATAAACGGAACATAAAAACACAGTTTTTTTTAAACGCAGCTCTAAGGTTTTTTTAGAAGGGAGGCATTTAGATTTTAGGGTAATTTAATAAGGGTAGTTTGGCTGACCTAATTTTGCAATTAAGTATCCCGAGTAATGCCCATAACACAAGGTATAATGAATTGTCCGGATCAAGCTGCGTTGGCATCACAGCCCCCACAGATCACTGCAGGTCCGGAGACCATAGTCTGTGGGGCTCACTGCGAGTCTGTGGGTCTCAATGTGAGTCTGTGGGTCTCATTGTGAGTCTGTGGGTCTCACTGTGAGTCTGTGGGTCTCTGTGAGTCTGTGGGTCTCTGTGAGTCTGTGGGTCTCACTGAGTCTGTGGGTCTCACGGTGAGTCTGTGGGACTCACTGCGAGTCTGTGGGACTCACTGTGAGTCTGTGGGTCTCACTGTGAGTCTGTGGGTCTCATTGTGAGTCTGTGGGTGTCTGTGAGTCCGTGGGTCTCTGTGAGTCTGTGGGTCTCACTGTGAGTCTGTGGGTCTCACTGTGAGTCTGTGGGTCTCACTGTGAGTCTGTGGGTCTCTGTGAGTCTGTGGGTCTCACTGACAGTCTGTGGGTCTCACTGACAGTCTGTGGGTCTCACTGACAGTCTGTGGGTCTCTGTGAGTCTGTGGGTCTCACTGTGAGTCTGTGGGTCTCACTGTGAGTCTGTGGGTCTCACTGCGAGTCTGTGGGTCTCTGTGAGTCTGTGGGTCCCAATGCGAGTCAGTAGGTCTCAATGCGAGTCTATGGGTCTCACTGCGAGTCTGTGGGTCTCACTGTGAGTCTGTGGGTCTCTGTGAGTCTGTGGGTCTCACTGTGGGTCTCATTGTGAGTCTGTGGGTCTCACTGTGAGTCTGCGGGTGTCTGTGAGTCTGTGGGCCTCACTGTGAGTCTGTGGGTCTCACTGTGAGTCTGTGGGTCTCACTGTGAGTCCGTGAGGCTCGCTGTGAGTCTCACTGTGAGTCTGTGGGTCTCTGTGAGTCTCAGTGTGAGTCTGTGGGTCTCACTGTGAGTCTGTGGGTCTCACTGTGAGTCTCGCTGTGAGTCTGTGGGCCTCACTGTGAGTCTGTGGGTCTCACTGTGAGTCTGTGGGTCTCACTGTGAGTCTCAGTGTGAGTCCGTGGGTCTCACTGCGAGTCCGTGGGTCTCGCTGCGAGTCCGTGGGTCTCTGTGAGTCTGTGGGCCTCACTGTGAGTCTGTGGGTCTCACTGCGAGTCTGTGGGTCTCTGTGAGTCTGTGGGTCTCACTGTGAGTCTGTGGGTGTCTGTGAGTCTGTGGGTCTCACTGCGAGTCTGTGGGTCTCAATGTGAGTCTGTGGGACTCTGTGAGTCTGTGGGTCTCACTGTGAGTCTATGGGTGTCTGTGAGTCTGTGGCTCTCACTGCGAGTCTGTGGGTCTCACTGCGAGTTTGTGGGTCTCTGTGAGTCTGTGGGTCTCAGTGTGAGTCTGTGGGTCTCAGTGTGAGTCTGTGTGGCTCACTGCGAGTCTGTGGGTCTCTGTGAGTCTGTGTGTCTCACTGTGAGTCTATGGGTCTCACTGTGAATCTATGGGTCTCAGTGTGAGTCTATGGGTCTCACTGTGAGTCTGTGGGCCTCTGTGAGTCTATGGGTAGCACTGTGAGTTTGGGTCTCTGTGAGTCCGTGGGGTCCCACTGTGAGTCTGTGGGTCTCGCTGTGAGTCTGTGGGACTCACTGTAGATCTCACTGTGAGTCTGTGGGCCTCGCTGTGTGTCTGTGGGACTCGCTGTGAGTCTCACTGTGAGTCTGTGGGACACGCTGTGAGTCTGTGGGTCTCACTGCGAGTCTGTGGGTCTCTGTGAGTCTGTGGATTTCTGTGAGTCTGTGGGTCTCACTGTGCATCTGTGGCCCTCGCTGTGAGTCTGTGGGTCTCACTGTGAGTCTGTGGGTCTCTGTGAGTCTGTGGGTCTCACTGTGAGTCTGTGGGTCTCGCTGTGAGTCCGTGAGGCTCGTTGTGAGTCTCGCTGTGAGTCTGTGGGCCTCGCTGTGAGTCTGTGGGTCTCTGTGAGTCTGTGGGTCTCTGTGAGTCTGTGGGTCTCACTGTGAGTCTGTGGGTCTCACTATGAGTCTGTGGGTCCCACTGTGAGTCTATGGGTCTCACTGTGAGTCTATGGGTCTCATTGTGAGTCTGTGGGTCTCTGTGAGTCCGTGGGGTCCCACTGTGAGTCTGTGGGCCTCGCTGTGAGTCTGTGGGACTCACTGTGAGTCTGTGGGACTCACAGTGAGTCTGTGGGTCTCACTGAGTCTGTGGGTCTCACTGAGTCTGTGGGTCTCACTGTGAGTCTGTGGGTCTCACTGAGTCTGTGGGACTCACTGTGAGTCTGTGGGTCTCACTGCGAGTCTGTGGGTCTCACTGTAGGTCTCACTGTGAGTCCGTGGGTGTTACTGCGAGTCCGGGGGTTTCACTGTGAGTCTTAAGAGCAGGTCGTGTGTTGACTTTGCAGCAGCTGCGGCATCTGGTGGAAGGTAAAACTCATTGGTAGCGAGGGATGGCGGCGGTGGTGGTGGTGGTGGTCGTGGTATCAACGGTTCGGGCCATGATGACATCGCTTGAACATAATGACACCTGCCGCTCAGCACCTGCTTGTGTGTGTGTGCGTGCGCTGTGGTGGCCCAGCGGTTAGCGCTACGAAACCTGGCGACCCGAGTTAGAATTTCCGCTCACGGCCAACACCGGTGACGATTATCTGAACCGGCCCCTGAGCCTCCCCTAGGTGGACTCGGCCACAAATGAGTACCTGGGTGCGGTACGTGAACATTGCCACTAGGAAGACAAAGGCGGCCGGGCGTGGTGCTGGCCACGCACCCCCTCGCGTGTCGTGCCGGTCTTTCGTAGGTGCTCAGCCCTTGCCCAACAGTCCGTTAAGGCTATACGGGGGATCTCTGTCTTTGTGCGTGCGTGTGGCGTACTCGGGTCCCGGTGGTAGTCTCCCAGGAATTCGGCGAGGTCCACGAAGCCGTCGCCATCCTTGTCGTGCTCCAGCAGAGCCTCCTCCAGCACCGAGTCCTGCTCACAGCGACAGGGGCCGTCAACATCGCCGCTCACTCGCGACTCTCACCCACGACTCTCACCCACGTCTCTCACCCACGACTCTCACCCACGACTCTCACCCACGTCTCTCACCCACGTCTCTCACCCACGTCTCTCACCCACGACTCTCACACACGACTCTCACCCACGACTCTCACCCACGACTCTCACCCACGACTCTCACCCACGACTCTCACCCACGTCTCTCACCTACGACTCTCACCCACGCCTCTCACCCACGTCTCTCACCCACGTCTCTCACCCACGTCTCTCACCCACGACTCTCACACACGACTCTCACCCACGACTCTCACCCACGACTCTCACCCACGTCTCTCACCTACGACTCTCACCCACGCCTCTCACCCACGTCTCTCACCCACGTCTCTCACCCACGACCCTCACACACGACTCTCACCCACGACTCTCACCCACGTCTCTCACCCACGTCACCCACCCACGACTCTCACACACGACTCTCACCCATGATCCTCACCCACGTCTCTCACCCACGACCCTCACCCACGACTCTCACCCACGACGCTCACCCACGACTCTCACCCACGACTCTCACACACGTCTCTCACACACGTCTCTCACCCACGACTCTCACACACGACTCTCACCCACGACTCTCACCCACATCTCTCACCCACGTCACCCACCCACGACTCTCACACACGACTTCCACCCATGACCCTCACCCACGTCTCTCACCCACGACCCTCACCCACAACTCTCACCCACGACTCTCACACACGACTCTCACACACGTCTCTCACCCACGACTCTCACACACGTCTCTCACCCACGTCTCTCACCCACGTCTCTCACCCACGTCTCTCACCCACGTCTCTCACCCACGACTCTCACACACGACTCTCACCCACGTCTCTCACCCACGACTCTCACCCACGTCTCTCACCCACGTCTCTCACCCACGTCTCTCACCCACGTCTCTCACCCACGTCTCTCACACACGGCTCTCACCCACGACCCTCACCCACGTCTCTCACCCACGTCTCTCACCCACGCCTCTCACCCACGTCCCTCACCCACGACACTCACCCGCGACTGTCACCCACGACTCTCACACACGACTCTCACCCACGACTCTCACCCACGTCTCTCACCCACGTCTCTCACCCACGTCTCTCACCCACGACTCTCACCCACGACTCTCACCCACGTCTCTCACCCACGACTCTCACCCACGACTCTCACCCACGATCTCACCCACGACTCTCACCCACGTCTCTCACCCACGACTCTCACCCACGACTCTCACCCACGACTCTCACCCACGTCTCTCACCCACGTCTCTCACCCACGTCTCTCACCCACGACTCTCACCCACGTCTCTCACCCACGACTCTCACACACGACACTCACACACGTCACTCACCCACGTCTCTCACCCACGTCTCTCACCCACGTCTCTCACCCACGACTCTCACCCACGACTCTCACCCACGACTCTCACACACGACACTCACACACGTCTCTCACCCACGTCTCTCACCCACGACTCTCACACACGTCTCTCACCCACGACTCTCACCCACGTCTCTCACCCATGTCTCTCACCCACGTCCCTCACCCACGACTCTCACCCACGTCTCTCACCCACGACTCTCACACACGACTCTCACCCACGACTCTCACCCACGTCTCTCACCCACGTCTCTCACCCACGTCTCTCACCCACGTCCCTCACCCACGACCCTCACCCACGTCTCTCACCCACGACTCTCACACACGACTCTCACACACGACTCTCACACACGACTCTCACACACGTCTCTCACCCACGTCTCTCACACACGTCTCTCACCCACGACTCTCACCCACGACTCTCACCCACTCTCACCCACGTCTCTCACCCACGACTCTCACCCACGTCTCTCACCCACGTCTCTCACCCACGTCTCTCACCCACGACTCTCACCCACGACTCTCACACACGACTCTCACACACGTCTCTCACCCACGTCTCTCACACACGTCTCTCACCCACGACTCTCACCCACGACTCTCACCCACGTCTCTCACCCACGTCACCCACCCACGACTCTCACACACGACTCTCACCCATGACCCTCACCCACGTCTCTCACCCATGACCCTCACCCACGACCCTCACACACGACGCTCACACACGACTCTCACACACGATTCTCACACACGACTCTCACACACGTCTCTCACCCACGACTCTCACCCACGACTCTCACCCACGTCTCTCACCCACGTCTCTCACCCACGTCTCTCACCCACGTCTCTCACCCACGTCTCTCACACACGACTCTCACACATGACTCTCACCCACGACTCTCACCCACGACTCTCACACACGTCTCTCACCCACGTCTCTCACCCACGTCTCTCACCCACGACTCTCACCCACGACTCTCACCCACGACTCTCACCCACGTCTCTCACCCACGTCGCTCACCCACGACTCTCACACACGGCTCTCACCCACGACTCTCACCCACGTCTCTCACCCACGTCTCTCACCCACATCTCTCACCCACGTCCCTCACCCACGACTCTCACCCACGACTCTCACCCACGTCTCTCACCCACGGCTCTCACCCACGTCTCTCACCCACGTCTTCACCCACGACTCTCACCCACGTCTCTCACCCACGACTCTCACCCACGACTCTCACCCACGACACTCACACACGTCTCTCACCCACGTCTCTCACCCACGTCTCTCACCCACGACTCTCACCCACGACTCTCACACACGACACTCACACACGTCTCTCACCCACGTCGCTCACCCACGACTCTCACACACGTCTCTCACCCACGTCTCTCACCCACGTCTCTCACCCACGACTCTCACCCACGACTCTCACCCACGACTCTCACCCACGTCTCTCACCCACGACCCTCACCAACGTCTCTCACCCACGTCACCCACCCACGTCTCTCACCCACGACTCTCACCCACGTCTCTCACCCACGTCTCTCACCCACGTCTCTCACCCACCCACGTCTCTCACCCACCCACGTCTCTCACCCACCCACGTCACCCACCCACGACTCTCACCCACGTCTCTCACCCACGTCTCTCACCGACGACTCTCACCCACGTCTCTCACCCACGTCTCTCACCCACGTCACCCACCCACGTCACCCACCCACGTCTCTCACCCACGTCTCTCACCCAAGTCTCTCACCCACGTCTCTCACCCACGTCTCTCACCCACGTCTCTCACCCACGTCTCTCACCCACGTCTCTCACCCAAGTCTCTCACCCACGTGACCCACCCACGTCACCCACCCACGTCTCTCACCCACGACTCTCACCCACGTGACCCACCCATGTCTCTCACCCACGTCTCTCACCCACGTCTCTCACCCACGACTCTCACCCACGTGACCCACCCACGTCTCTAACCCACGTCTCTCACCCACCCACGTCTCTCACCCACCCACGTCTCTCACCCACCCACGTCTCTCACCCACCCACGTCTCTCACCCACCCACATCTCTCACACACGTCTCTCACCCACCCACGTCTCTCACCCACGTCACCCACCCACGACTCTCACCCACGTCTCTCACCCACGTCTCTCACCCACGTCTCTCACCCACGTCTCTCGCTCACTTCATCTTTCTCGCCACGGTGGTGAGATATTATCTCCCTCGCCTGGTGTACAGGAGGTGGTGGATTTGATGCCGACCCTGACGCCTGCTGTATATTTGGAGTTTGCGTGTTCTACTCTCCCCATGGTCGTGTGGATTTTTCTCCGGGTCCTCTGGATTTTCCCTCTACATTTAGAATCAACATCACGCGTTTAGAGTATTTCTTGGGCTGCTAGAAATTCCCACGTGATGATGACAAGCCACTTTGTTGAGCTATCATTTGTGATAGCCAGGTCGCTTCTGAAAACGAGCTACATAGCTCAGTGGGCCTTACCTTGACACTTGTTGTAAGAGCTTACCTGCACATGCGCCTAACGATATTCGAGTGCCTCTTGCTCTCTTTGTTTGCAGTGGTTTTAGATTTGAGCGTTTCGTTTATGACCGTTTAATACCTAATTTGTTAGCTGTGTGATATTCCTCAATGGCCGTGTATTCGTTCTCCGCAATATTGTATATACCTAACGTTGAGAACTTCCTTCACACCGTACGTCAACGACCGTGCTAATCGGAGGTGCGGGGGAAGGACAACAAGCTAAACACGAAAAGCAGTTCTAAAGAAATTCGTTTTCAATCCAGATTTAAAAGTGCACATTTCCAGTGGCAACTGAAAGCGCCGCGCAATGCAGTGGCCGTCTTTGTTCGATGGCCAAGCCAAAAGCCGCTGCTACGATGGATGAGCGGAGTCCACGTGATGATGGTTTACGCTCCTTGACGAGGTCAGCGTTGGCGGCAAGCACTTTGTGCGTAATGAACGCGACCTTGTCACGAATTCCATGTTTTCGTCTTTTCTCGTTGCTGCTGCTGCTGCTGCTCAGGCAGCATCGCGCGTATCCCCCCGCGTAAAACCGCCGGGCAACTTGGATGCACGCGACCATCACCGGCGCAACAAATGGAACAAAAAACTCGACGCTCAGGAGCGGCCGCACGCGCCACCTAGTGGGGAATTTGTTCGGTGCTTTTTTTTTGTTTTTTACAAACCAAGACGACGCAGGGCCACACCGCTGCCACGTAAGGCCTGCGACAACGGCGGCGTCTCTCCCGAGCCGCCACGCTCTTTTAATGCACCCACGCCGCGGCTCTATCGCAGCGGCGTGGAACAGGAGTGTGCCATCGCGGCAGCAGCAAAGAATAACGAATGTCCCCTCCACATTTAGAATCAGCATCACGCGTTTCGAGCTGATGGGCTGCTGCTATAAATGTTCACACGATGATGTTGATGGGCCACTTGGTTGAGCTGCTACCATTGGTGATGGGCAGGTCGCTCCTGAAAACGAGCTATATATATAAAAAACTCAGTTGGGGCCTTACATGGTCAAAAAAACATTGTTCAGTTTAGGGTTTAAATACGTAGGCCTTCGCGAACAATATCATCCATAATGTGGGTTGTTTGGGTTAGATCGTGTAAATATAAAAGTGTCGTCAAACTCGCCACCACCCGACACGGCCAATTAGCAAGGTTTGTCACGTAAACAAAACCATGCCAATGTGTTACTAGTTCAGCACAGCGGTGTGTTGGGAGAGTAAACCCACGACATTTACAATTCGAGTACCATGACGTTTCGCCGGCAATTACAAACGAGCATCATCAGGCGGAGAGCCAGAGTTGGTCGCGAAAGCCTACGTCTGAAAATAACGAATGTCTCCCGCGCTGTACCGAAAACTGTTAACGTACAGTCTGTTCTCCTATCACGTGTGTGCTCATAACACAAACTGCTCGTCTGAGGTTTCTTCGCGACTGTGAGATGCAATGAGCAACGACGACTACGCTACATATATGTAAGTGTAAAACATTATTATGGAGACCCAGAGAGATCCGTGGAGACCCAAAGAGACTCACAGAGGCAAAAAGATTTATTGAGACTGATAGAATCCCATAAAAAAATATATATTGTAGAGAACCATAGAGATCCATGGAGACCCGTAAAGACTCACAGAGCCCCAGAGACTCACTGAGACTGATAAAGCCCCACAGGCGAGGCAGGAGTATGTTGCCTGCTCGACACCCAAGTTTCACAACATTTGTGCGGAGATCCACCAACCCCTTCACCGCCTTCACCATGAGGGGTTGGTGGATCACGTGGCCTGGGGTGGCAAGATGTTAACTCCCTTGCCCGGTATACAGGAGGTCGCAGGTTCAATCCTGACCTTGACGTCTGTATATTTGGAGTTTGCGGTGTCTCTCTCCATGTGGTCGCGTGGATTTTTCCACGGGTCCTCCCGTTTTTCCCTCCACATTTTAGAATCAACATCACTTGTTTACAGTATGTGGCTACTGCTATAAATTGCCAATTGATGATGAGCCACTTCGTTTAGCTATCATTTGTGATAGCCAAGTCGCTTCTGAAAAAGCGAACTACACAGCTCAGTGGGGCCTTACCTGGTAAGGCAAAGCATTGTTTAGTTTTAGTTAGCGACCACCAAGAGCCCGGCACGGTCACCTGCATGTAGTCAAACTCCTCCGGGTGCTCGAAGGCGAGGAACTCGGTGATGTTGAGACCCTGGACGCCGTCCGAGTCGGCCTTCCCAAACTTCTTCTTCTCCCTGGCGTAGAGCTACGGGCAAACGACGCGATCAGCGGAGGGCACCGCCCATCGTAATAACGACGACGACAGTTAGTTGTTGTTGTTGTTGATAAGAGCCGCCCTCATTTACGACGTGACGTCTCAAAAAGCGCACTTGCATGCGATGAGCGACTTGCGCCTCATCCCAACGCATTTGAAAGGGCGCAGCCCCGGCGGCAAGCCGTTCCCTGTGTGGCACAAGGTGCCTCAGCGGCACGTGGCCTGCACATGGGCATCACTCCACCAGTAGGCGGGGGGGGCTAGGATTGCCACTGTGCGTGCACGTTACTGCGGTGTACACCGGGCGATGACGTGTAACGTCTGCTGTGAAGCGGTCGGCGCATAGTTTTTATGGTTAACCCGTTCCCGTTCCGACGACGTACGCGTACGTGCGTGTGTTACGTCATCGGAACGGAATCGGAAGGAAAAGGGCACGCAAGAGGGGCGTGTGGCACAGTTTCTGCGCCAGCCATTGTGGGGGTGCGGCGGTCGCGTCCGCGACGGTTCTCTGCGGTGAGTTCGCAGTGCAATGTCTTGAAAAACGGCGGCGCTACTACGCCTCTCTAAATAAAATTGACGCCGAGCCGTGCGCGCATTCTGAGATTCAGCGGTGAACGGGAAACCCACCGACCCTGCCACTTGCAGGGTGAATAACCGGGGCGGCCTGCCGGATTTCGAACCGCAACGTTGCTGCGGCAAGCGGCTTAGCGAGCTAACCGCAGCGCCACGTCACCGCCCGAGGAATTGAGGAAGCGGCCGAGATCACCGATGGCAAATGGTGCGAGAAGTTCCTCTGGTCCCTCGCCAAATGGGCTCCTGTTCCATCGAAGACAAAGCGTACGAGACCCACGGGTGAGGTGCGAGGCGAGCGAAGTGGTGAGGAAGGCAGTTACGCAGACGATGATGAATGATGACGTCGGTAAGGCAATTAAGTTGTGGGTTCGATCCCGACCCTGACGCCTGCTGTACATTGGAGCTAGTGTCTCTCTCTCTCTCTCTCTTTCTCCCCACGTGGATTTTTACTTCGGGTCCTCCAGTATTTCCCTCCACATTTTACAATCAAAATGCACTTAGATTATTTAGATTATTTCGCTGCTATAAATGTCCACATGATAAGCCACTTTGTTGAGCTATCATCTGTGGCTAGGTCGCTTCTGAAAAACAAGGTAATAGCCTCAGTGGGCTTTACCAGGCAAGATAAAAATAGTTATGGTTTATTTTTCTACTTTTTAAAGTGATTAGTTCACCCTTCCTATACTTTGCACTCCTATCGTGCTTTTGAAAATTGTTTGTTGGAACGTTCTGACCCCCCCCCCCATGCACGAGAGACGGCGAGGGAAGTGGCGACTGAAGCAGTGACGGAGGCGGCTGAGGGAGGCGGTGAGAGAAGTGGTGCGGGTGACAGATGGGGAGGGAGCTACTGATGAATGGTCGAGTAAAACGGTGGCGGGTGAATCGGCGGGCGGCTCGGCGAGTGACTCGGCGAGTCGGTGAGTCGACGGGGTGGGCGGGTTGGCGAGAGGATTGGCGTGTGAATCGGCGAGCGATTCCATGAGCGATCCGGCGAGTCGGCGAGCGAGTGGGTGAGTGAAGCATCGAGCGAGTCGGTGATGAGCCAGTCGTTGAACGAATCGGTGAGAAGCGATTTGATGAGCGATTCAGTTAACGATTCGGTCAGAGATTCTATGACCGATTCGGTCAGCGATTCGACAAGCGATTCGGTGAGGGATTTGACGAGCAATTCGGTGAGCAATTCGGTGAGCGATTAGACGAGCGTTTAGACGAGCGATTCGGTGAGCTATTAGACGAGTGATTTGACGAGCGATTCGGCGAGCGATTCGGCGAGCGAGTCGGTGACGGCACGCGACGGGGAAGTTCAGCCACGGCGGGCCGCGCTCTCTCCGTACCGACTGCAGCGAGCTCCGCTCCTCCTCCTCCTCGTCGTCGCCGCCGCCGCCATCTCCGCCTCCCCCTCCTGCGGCCGCCGCGGCCTCGCCGCCGTCCCCTCCCGGTAGGCTCTCGTACTCGTGCTGGCGGTACTCGTCCCACGAGACGACGCCGTCGCCGTCGCGGTCCACCTCCGGGAAGCGCTCGCGCGTCTCCTCGGTGGCGTAGCGCCGGAACGACTGCATCGTCCACCGGCTCAGCTCGTCTGCTCGGGGGTGGGCGGCGGGAGGCGGGGCTTTGAGTGCCAAAGCGGCAACGCTCCGTGCCGACGCTCTCCCGCGGGCCGCCGACGTTGTCACAGCGCACGGCGGTAAGGCGCAACCCCAAACGTGGGCGGTTCACTCACCCGTCCGCTCATCCGCTCGCTCGACCACGCGTCCACCCGCTCACTCACCACCATGACTCGTTCATCCACCCAATCACCCGAGTGCTCAGCGACTCAACCCAATCGTGAGCACGTGGTATTGGTGCCGTCGGCCCCGTAGGAAGAAGGCGCTGCTGGGTTACAGATGGGTGTAGAGGGGTGTAGTGTCACTCATCCACTCACAACCTGCCTGGATCATCCACTCACTCACTTACCATCATTGCTCATTCACCCATCCACCCACTCACTCATTCACCCATCCACCCACTCACTCATTCACCCGTCGACCCACTAACCCAGGGGTCGGCAACCAAAATAACAGGATGAGCCACTCTTTTTCAATTCGGTAAAATATTTCAAGAGCCGCAAGGCACGCGATGAACACGAGATGGTGGGTCCTTAATCAACGACGTCACGCGGGAGTCCTTCATGAGCCGCACGCGGATTCGGAGTTGCAGGCTGCCGAGTCCCTGCAGCAACCCAAGCACTCTTACCCTCTCACCGACCCATTCCTTCGCTCACTCACTCAATCGACCCCACTCACTCCACTCGCTCAGCAACTCACTCAATCACGAGTGCATGCGGTGCTGGTGCCATCGATATCTTGCGGGGCACAGCTCCCGCGTAGGACGGTGCTGCTGTGTTGCACAGACGCCCGTCTGCAGGAGTTCCCCGAATTTTGGACCGCGACGCTTGCACACAATGGCCCGCCCATTTGCAAAAGATGTCACGGGATTTTTTTGACGTCCACTGCAAAGCAGGCAGATGGCGCAGCAGTACTTCATGGTTCATGCACGCCGTAGCGTGAACCAAGTCAGCCTGCTGGATTTGAACAGAGAAGCTTTGCCACCTGCTGGGCCATTTTAACCACTCCCACCACACACTCCTCTCTTGATCTTCTACGATGCAAAGATTAAAAGGGAAATACTCGTAAACACGTTCACCAATAATTGCCGAGGCCTTAAAAGACGTTTGTAGGCAATGGCCCTTTTTCATGGCACATTATCGAAGCACATACGACAGAACTAACTTTGACGCCGCTGTGGCTAGGAGATGTTAACTATCTCGACTGGTATACAGGAGGTCGTGCGTTTAACCCCGACCGTGACACCTGCTGCTGTGTATATTTGGAGTCTTCGTGTCTCTCTCTCTCTCTCATCATCATCACAGTGGCTAAGAGATGTTAACTACTTCGCCTGGTATACAGGAGGTCGTGCGTTTAACCCCGACCGTGATGCCTGCTGCTGTGTATATTTGGAGTCTTCGTGTTCTCTCTCTCTCATCATCATCATCACAGTGGCTAGATGTTAACTACTTCGCCTGGTATACAGGAGGTCGTGCGTTTAACCCCGACCGTGATGCCTGCTGTGTATATTTGGAGTCTTCGTGTTCTCCCCGTGGATTTTTCTCCGGATCCTCCAGCTTTTTCCCTTCACATTTAGAATCATGCCATAAATGTCCACGCGATGACAAGCCACTTCGCCGAGATGTCATTTGTGGCAGCGAGGTCGCTTCTGAAAACAGAGCTTCACAGCTCAGTGGGGCCTTACCTGTTAAAATAAAAAAAAATAAAAATAAAACTGTTTAGTGTGGGGAGGCCTTCATCCAGCAGTGGAACGACAAAGGGGGCTCGAGGCGAAGTATTGAGCCGAAGACTAAACGCCGCTCACGGTCTGACCGTCTTGGGCAACAAGGGACAGAAACGGAGGTGCAAGGCACGCGAGCGGAAGGATTCCATGCGCGAAGCGTCGCCAACCTTTCGAAAGGAACCCATCGCCGTCCGCGTCGATCTTGGACACGAGCGCCTGCAGCCTCCTCGCCGCCTCCTCGGGGTTCAGCTTCGAAAACTCCTCGAGCGACTCCTTGCAGGAAAGGGGGGCGGGGGGTCGTTGAAGGTGACGAGAAAAACGAGGTGACGGCGTCGTCGCGGCCCAGGGGAGCGTTCATTACGGACGCACCAGAGCACTCGGCTGGCACTGCCGACACCCCGGGGCCTGCATAAATAAAATGTACGTGCGTACGTACGCTCAACCCCTTTCGCACCCGTACGTAGCCAGCCGTGCTAATCGGAGGTGCGGAGGGGGGAAGGAAAACAACAACCTAAAAAATGCTCCTAAGACTTGACACAAGTCCGGCAGGCAAGACATGAATCGTCGTAAGGGAAAAATGGGGCACGATTGAACAGAAACTCGGGTATCCGAGCGAGATGGCAACGCTGCGGGCGTGCCAGCGGTTGCTAGGCATTGCATCGTCACCCACACTGCACCAACCAATCAGCTGCCAGGAAGACAGCCCCCAGTCAACATGGCCGACATAAGAGCATCACACGTAAGATGGCCACGATAAAGTCAACCGTGCAACATGGTTGGCATGACATAATTTGCTCCGTGGGCTTCAGCCAGTCGATGGCTGAGATAAATATAATTGTTATTAATGTTCATTATATTAATTGTTAATGTTATTGCTAATTGTTTTTTTTTTCATTATATATTATAGGTGGACTTCTTTCTTGACTGTGACAGTTGACTTTGGTTCTGACCACCTCTGAATTATCTCCTAACGTTACTTAACCGTGAAAACTCTCTCATTGACTTGGAGGGATGACAAATCTTATCTTGAAACGGACTCATTCCACTGCCGGTAATTGAGCAATTTTGTTCTGTACTCTCGCCCCCGAGACTTTAACCTCACTTATAACAAAATAAGCTCAACCAAACGGTGAGCTTATTTTGCCTTGAGTTAAGTGTCTGTTGTGTTTAACACAGTTCCTGAGCACAGGCGCAAAAGGACCGAAGATGGGTCAGCAACAAACAGCACCGCCGAGAGTTGTAAGAGATTAGAGTCGATATGTTCCTTTAACACGTCGGCTTTCACGACCAATATTATCCATAAGAGGTTTTTGAGTTAGATCGCGAAAATAGAAATGTGTCGTTAAACCCGCCACTACACGACACAGCCAATTAGTAAGGTACTCGAATTGTAAATGTTGTGGGTTTACTCTCCAACACACCGGCGTGCTATACGAGTAAGGAATTGGCACGTTTTGTTTACGTGACAAACCTTACTAATTGGCTGTGTCGGGTGGTGGGAGGTTTAATGACACATTTATATTTATGCGATCTAACCCAAAAAACTCTATTATTAGTCGACATGTTTCTTGAATAAAGGAAAATTCTAAGGGGACTGGGATGAAGAGACATTGCGAGGACATTCTAAAGCGAAGCAGTGCGAGGGAAGCAGCAGAAAGAGAAAGGAGGTGACCTGCAGCAGTGTGGTGAGTGGGTGGGTGAGTGACTGGGTGAGTGTGTGAATGTGTGAGTGACTTAGTGGGTGAATGAGTGGGTGAATGAGTGGGTGAATGAGTGGGTGAGTGGTTGGGTGAATGCGTGGTTGAATTAGTGGGCAAGTGAGTGGGTAAGTGACTGGGTGACTGTGTGAATGGGTGAGTGAATGGGTGGGTGGGTGAGTGGGTGGGTGAATGGGTGGGTGAATGGGTGGGTGAATGGGTGGGTGGGTAAGTGACTGGGTGAATGAGTGGGTGAATGAGTGGGTGAATGAGTGCATGAATGAGTGAATGGATGGATGGGTGGGCGAGTGAGTGAATGAGTTGTCGTTGTGACCTGCAGTGATGATGGTTGAACACAGTGTGCAGGATGAGGTGAAAGTCAGTCTGGTTGACCGAGTGCTCAACACGGATGGAGGAATCAGCGAAGTCAAAAGAAGCAGTGGTAAGGAGTGGATTGGTCATCGGTGAGCCAGTGACTGGAGTGAATCAGGAAGTGGTAGATTATTAATCGACCCGACCACTTTCCATCGAATTCTAGCAAGTACACTGATACGTGACATAATTAAACCAGTAATAGGTTTTGACCCTTTTATCTGGCACCAAAACTGACACCTTTATACAAGGGATCATGTTTGCAATAACCACAACACAAGCAGTCCAACACCAGTGGAGACTAGGCTCTAAGAAAAGCCGTCTCAGGTGTGGATCAATCAATTTCAAGGACAGTGCACATCATTATCAGAGTTGTCTCTTTTTGTTTGCATTTTGACTGTGTTGTGGTTATTGCAAACATGATCCCTTGTATAAAGGTGTCAGTTTTGGTGCCAGATAAAAGAGTAAAAAACTATTACTATATCTTGCTACTGGCAAAGGAGGTCTCATAATATAATTAAACCAGTTGTGTTCCATACCAGATCTGACAACAGCTTGCATTTAATGACAAGAAAAAGACCTGGGGAACAGAGATGCATTGAGCATCTTACAAAGACAAAGATCCCCCGTATAGCCTTAACAGACTGTTGGGGAAATATACCGTGCCGGCTTTCATAGAGAGCACCTATGAAGGCCAGTACGAAGAGGGTGGGTGGCCAGCACTACACCCGGTCACCTTTGTCTCCCCAGTGGCAATGTTTATACATCGCACCAGGTACTCATTTTAAGGCTGAGTGGACTTAGGCTAGGGCCAGGGTCGCCGGGTTTGGAGCGCCGCGCGCTAACCACTGCACCACCACTACCCACAAAGACACACGCACACACTACACTACACACCTCTCCTCCAAAGAGCGCCTCCCTGTCATAGTCTGGGTTGTGTTCCCCCTCCACGTAGTGCTCTTGGCTCAGCACCTTCTCCTGCTTGGAGGCCGACGCTGCCAGCAACCCCAAAGCAACGAGGAGAGCTCCCGCCTGCATCCTGTAACCGACAACAACAGCAGCAGCAATTACAATGCACTTACAACACAGTCTGTTCTACTATAATTCAGTACTAGTTGCATTGCTGAAGATACACCGCGTTATGGAAAAATCGCATTCTAATAAATAGTATGTAATGTAGGGGGTAAAGCACAGCACGCGATAACACGCGACACGCGCACGCAGGCCGGACAAAGCCCAAGGCGCATGGGTAGCATCTAGAAGCATCCAGTAGCATCCCGCCATGTGCGACGACGCTACGTCACGGCAGCTCCTTCCTACCTCGTGCGCGACATAGCTCCGTTCACTCCATCGTGTTATATCCATAATACAGGGGGCTTTTTTTTGGGGTAGATCGTAAATATGTCGTTAAACCCGCCACCACCCAACAAAACCAACTAGTAAGGTTTGTCAAGGAAACAGAACGTGGCCAATTCGTGACTAGTACGGCACACCGGTGTGTTGGAGAGCAAAGCCACAACATTTACAATCTGAGTACGACGTTTCACCAGCAATTACAACTAGCATCACTAGTCACGATGTGGCACGATTCAGTTTACGTGACAAACCTTACCATTGGCTTTGTCGGGAAGTGGCAGATTTAACGACACATTTATATATTTACGCGATCTAACCCAAAAAACCTGTATTATGGATGATATTGGTCGTGGAAGCCTACGTTTGAAACTGCGTTATATCCAATTCGCAATATATATAAAAAAGTCTTCCCTTAATACAATGATTGCAGTGTATATCCAGTTCGTGTTTTGAAGACACCACAAGCGGCGTCAGAAGAGAACGGGCTGTAATTAGTACATTTGGTATTCGCGGAATACTTGTGATGCAAGGATATCACGAAGGAAGGTGCCGTTTCACAACCTGCAGTCGATTCAGTTGGGGACGACCGCTGTGTGTGCAATGTGAATTGAGCAATAGAAAAAACTACGCGTTGCTTATATCGGAACCACGCTTGTATAAGGTGTTCTCGTGTCCAGCTTCTGCTTTCCCGGCACCTCAACATCATTAAATCGGCGCAGGTTGAGGTTTTAGGCGAGTGGTTCTTAACCTGGGGGGATGCGCGTGCACCCCCTGGAAGTGCGAGATTCCCTTTCTGGGGGTGGCGAGACATGGCCAGATTTTGTTTTGAAGGAAAATCATGAAAAACGCAAGTTAAGCAAGGGCACGTAAGTTACAACTTACTTTGTTCCATCGAACCCTGTGTATTTATTAACATTGTATACTTTTTGTTACGATTGAGAACCAAAGGGGTGCAAGGCTGCAGAGAAGGTTAAGAACCGCTGGTTTAGGCAATGGGCCTTCTTCAGCGTAAAGAGCACGGCCCGACTAATTGGTCTCATCAACAACCCATTCAACTCATCCGCCCCACCACTCACAAAATCAATCGCTCACTCAATCGCGTATCCACGCACTCACTCATTCATTCATCAACCCATTCACTCACTCATTAATTCATCCACCCATTCACACATTCATCCACTCACTCATTCACCCACTCATTAATTCATCTACTCATTCGCTCATGCATCCACCCATTCACTCACTCATTCATGCATCCACCCATTCACTCACTCACTAATTCATTCATCCACCCATTAACTCACTCATTCATCCATCATTCACTCACTCATGAATTCATCCACCATTCACTCACTCATGAATTAATCTACCCATTCATTCATCCATTCATTCAGTCACTCATTCATCCACCCATTCACTCACTCATTCATGCATCCATCCACCCATTCACTCACTCATTAATTTATTAATCCACCCATTCACTCACTCGTTAATCCACCCATTCACTCACTCATTCATTCACTCATTAATTCATCCATTTATTCACTCACCCATTCATCCACCCATTCACTCACCCATTCATCCACCCATTCACTCACTCACTCATTCATGCATCCACCCATTCACTGACCCATTCACCTCCATCGCATCGCTCCACATTGGAATTCCCTCCCATCGTCTTTTTTCTCGCTCCCAAAATGATTTACGCCTTTCCTTAAACCCCAATTTTCAATGTCCCTTTTGTGTGACGCTTGCAGCGGTATTGAGCGGCATAGTGTCTTTACCTGTAGCACATATACAAGGGACACGCTTCATGAACAATAGATTTGTACATGCACTATTTTCCACGTGTGTGTCGTAATCATAGCGATCAGTTAATGTTGAAATTTAGTTGGATATCTTCACCATGACTACATTCATTTCACACCAACAAGTGTTCGTCATCGTCAGCCACGGTCAATCCGCTGCTGGATGAAGGCCTCCTTCAAGGTGCCGCCGTCACCTCTCCCGATAATTAATCCACCCAGCACCTGCACATTAATTGAATTAATCGCTCCATCTCCACAATTCACATTTATTTAATTAGTCGCTCCATCTCCACAATTCACGTCC